TTGTCAGTATGATCTGGCAGTTAGGTTCTCCACCTTATTACCCTCAATCACGTGACCTGGTGGAACACTTTGTGAATGCATTTAAACGTGGTTTATTGAAAGGAGAAGAAGATGGTTTGGTAGGCATCGTTTTTACCAGATTTCTTGGAAAATACAGAAGCACTCCGAATCGCAACACACCAACCAGGAAATCTCCCGCACAGTGCATATTTGGTTGTCAAATTAGAACGGTTTTTGGGTCGATACTGCCCACAACTATGTCACAAAGAATCCAGTGTGTGCAACAAAGCATGAATTTCTGCCTCGATTATTAGATTACCGTCAGAAACTATCAAGGTAAAAATCTGTGTGAAACGGATGTAACAAGACGTAAAATAGGAAGACTACCTTATGAAGTGCAAGATGAACCACATAAATCAACTAAGATGGAGACATTATAACCACAGTAGAAATGATACTTCTCTCAGATTACCACTCACTATGTTACCGGACAACACACCAATCAGAAACCGAATCAAGACTCTCCAGTTGCAAGAAAAATTGTCATAAATTTGCTAGTCTGAAACCACCAGAGCGTTGAGCGATTTGGTTTAGGAAACTCATCAGGAAGATGCAGATGAATCTAGGCACCATTCTTATACATAGATTTACTTAAAGAGGGAGGCATTATAGAGTGGGACGGTACCCTCAAAGAAGCCTGGGATTCCTCAAAACGCCTTCACAAGAAGTTGTGACGTGCCGAACATTCGCGAAAACCAAACGATCATAACTTCGAGTCTCATATTGGCTGGAAAGCCTTCTAGAAAAATGTGTAACATATTAAGGCCATTGAAAACATAAATAAACAAGTAATTTTGTGCATGTTCGATTTGAAAATAAACATTTTATGGGTTTTTTCTCTTTATATCTACTATAGGGACATATTAGTTTGTCAGTCAATGAACAGAAGCCAGTGTAATTTAAATACTGTCCCGTCCAAGAATCCCTGAGATAAATGCTGATCTTAATTTCGCCATCGTGTGTCCCGCTAGTAGATTAGTACCAAAACGGAAACCGTCACTTTCCCATGTAAATTTTACATTACGATACATTGTGTTCACACCTCGAACTTCATCCGTATTGAGGTAAGGATTCGTTATTGAGAACATCGAAGTTGCACTTCAGGGAGTTAAACGACTTCACTCTTTCAGCCTTGTATGCAGATAAAAGAAATTTTCTCATACTTGTTTTGCCGCTTCAAATTCTGGTAAACACGAGGTAACTATTATTAGCACACTAGGTTAGTAATCCAGGTCATCTCTAGGGATTTGAGCTTTGTTCTTGCAGTTTTGAAGACTTTACTGTTCTTTACGAGGAAGTCGGTGAGCATTTCATATGAGACTAATCGCGAAAAGATTGGCATTAACAACAAACCGAATTGTATCTGTTGTCGCCAACCATTTCTACCGCTTCTAATGACACTGGTATTATTCTTATTCTAAAAGATTTTTGATGGGAGAGTAAAAACTAGATGGCAGTTCAATTCGCGAACATTTAAAACAACTAAAGATTCTCATAATATTTATAAAAAGCAACAACCTGAATGAGGAATTTTCTTTTCGATAAATTCTCTTCAGTTTGTACAGTTATGGAATGTATTTGTATAGCATAAAATCAAGCTGTTATGGGCGATTGCATTTTCAAGATGGAGTGAGATCTAGGGATTGGTAGGGTGATACACACCCAGAAGAATGATATGATAGTGAAACAAAAGGATAACGAATAAGATGGCCTTTAGTTTGCTGAAGGTCAAGGGAGAAGTAACACTTGAATATGTTCTTTCTGAATGCAGAGTTCAGGCTTGATCAATCTTGTAACCACAGCCTACATTATGTTGAGCTGGGGTTGGCGAGCTACATATAGTTTCGTTTTTGGGACACGATGAATGTTATCAAAAGCTTTGTTAGCATCAGTGTGATACTGTGTGTCGACTAAACGGGCTAGAACTGGACTTTTTACCACTTTCACTTCTCCCTTTCCGAACCAATCTGCTAAATGCTCTCGTATCCGTAGACGCACCCACCTAATTGTACGGCGTATGTAACTAGTTCCACAGGAACAGTTAAATTGGTATATGCAAGATGAAGAGCTAAGGTTAGGTAGGTTGTCCGTTAGTCTCGGACTGAGCATTGGCTGACTACTGAATAACATGCAAAGCCGACCTGAATAAAACGTCCTGTTGACTGCTGTAGTTAGGCGTTGTGATAGTATGTCACTTGGAACATCTTCCTTAAAATGTAAGCTCAGAAACAAGGGCTTCTTCCTCACTGTCATCAGTTCTTGTTTAGGACCAATATAGTTGATGTTAGTTTTGATGAACTTGTCAGGATATCCGGTTTCACTTGGGAAATCATAAATACACAGTAGTTCTTTTTCCACACACTTCTTGGAACAAATCGATCTTACTGCAAAAGCCAGGCATGTGATTGTATTGTGTTGGTACTTCATCGGTACGAAGCTGAGAAACTGCCTATACTGTACCTTAGACGTTGGTTTTCTATATATGCCTCTCAGTATACAGCCAACTTTGTTTCTTGTTATTAGGACATCAAGAGAATGTATCAAATCATTGATTCCATTTTCGTATATAAAATGAATTCATGGATGATCACTGTTAAAATGGTTCAGAATAGAACTAATATATATGCACTTATCAAAGACTAATAAAGTATCATCCATGCATAGACAGTACAACTCCATATTAGCAATTTGATCTTTCAAATGACCATTTTCCAATTCTGCCAAAAATACGTCTGCAAATAATGATCGCAATGGAGATGCCATAGCCACTCCGTCGACTTGTCTGTACGAATTACTGTTGAAGATAAACTGGGCATTCACTTTATATTTTAGCAATAGTTCTTTCAAATTCATAATCAGAATGCCAGTTTCTAATTTTCTTTCCAGTAACTGTTCACAAATAAACTCGACGGTTTTCATTGGAGGGACATTAGTAGAAAAAGATATGATATTTGGGGATCCGATGCATTCGCTTAAACCATTCAAGCTCTTCATTTTGTCTATAAACTGGAAGGTATCTTTCACGCTATATTTTGCTAACTGGTCGCTCAAAGGTTGAAGTAACCGTACTAGCCACTTAGCGATAGCATGGTTAAGCAAGTTGGTCATGTCTAGAATAGGGTAAAGAGGCATCTCAGGTTTGTATATTTTCGGCAGACCATACATCCATGGAATCGTACTGCCTATAGGCTTGAAACTTTCAAATAACATTGGTGAAATGTATCCATCATCTTTCAGTCTCTTCAGTGAGAGAATTAGGACCTTTTCTGCCTTTTCAGTTGGGTCTTTTATTAGCCGTACTCTCCGAAATTTCCATTCGTCTTACAATATTAAATCCATTTTTTGTACATAATCAACTCTGTCCATAACTACGACTCCAGCTCCTTTATCAAGCCTTATGATGATGCTCTGATCCTTTCTGAGTTTTTTCAGAGCTTCATTACGTTTTCTAATCAATATGTCTCTTAACTTGTCTGTATGCTGATTGCAGCAGTCCACTAGAGTCAATTTAAATCTTTCTAACTCTGCACCAGATGATGCAACCAAATCGGTTGTGTGTATGAATAGATACTCAAACTGCACATCTGTATCGACTTGGTTAATTTTCTTGCAAATGTCGCAAAACTTAGTTCCAAGGGATAGAACTTCCATTTGTAATTTATCCAGCATAGTACTTGAATAATTATGAAGGTACTTCTCCGGATTTTTCGGAATATAGCTTCATCACAGTTGTCATTCAATGTCATCTACAGAGTCAAGAAGAAGAGTTCAAATGGACTGCTCATTAGAAACGTATGCACACCAGAATTACCAGCAGTTCACTGATTGAAGCCGTTTCTCTTCATGCAGAATAAGTTTATTTAATTCCTTATCTTACTATGGTTTCATTGCTTTTTCTCGATCTCTACACAATTATTCAACTTACTGTTATCACCTTCAATATGATACTTATTTCTTTCTTTCTTTCTTCATCATCTTCACACCTGTTGAGTGAACAGTCAGTCAACGCACTTCACGTCTACCGACAACCTTCAGTATGTCAAACTCCTAGTCTTTCCTGTAGTTTCTATTGTTCGATAGATCATTACACAACTGTTTTCCGCTCTTCATTCCAATCCTAACACTACACTACTGATCCAAATATACCCTATTGTTTATTGTCGCATATATACGATTGTATAGCTTTCGTTAATGACACTGTTTAAAAGGAAAATTCTACTCTCTGAATTATATTTTCTTTCGAGAAGTAAATGTTGTTACACTGTTTTCATCAGTTTTGTTCACATTATTTGCTCACATTATATACGATTCGATATTTACTAAATGTTTCTTTTCACCCAAGGTAACATCATAGTGAACAGTTGGAGTGGATAGTGCTGAGATATTGATTTCAACCTCTTTTGTGCAACAGCATATTGGGTTCGTCGACTTGTTTTCATGTAATTCTGACTACTTTCCATCGTTTAAACGGAGGGCAATTATGTGCGTTTGCAAGACTGTGACTGTAAATATCAAGTGTAGTCAATTTGATTTCCACTATAATTTGATGAACTGATGAAAGAGAACTGAAGTATCGAGATCTAAACTTGGGCTCCGGCATATGAACCTATCTACCTACTAGTTGGATCACTGAACAAAACGCTTTGAAAGCAAGAACCGATAGCGAATTACTTCTCCATTTATCTCGTATGCAATAATATATTTCTCATACAACTTGCAACACTGATATTCATTTTTTGTTGACGTGATCAATTATTCTTCTACCAATAACTAATTAAGAGAACAATTGGATTTCAATAAATTTGGTTGGTTCACTTTCAAGTAGCGAATAAAATCTGATAAACAGTCGGTATATTTCATTGTTCAACAAAGTAAATACAAACACCTGAGAATTCTAGTGAAGAATGTTTCGAAGTAAGCGGCGCTTTTTCAGCTCTAAAATGCCGATTGATCGTTATGATTTCTCAGGTAATCGGCTCATATTGATAGCTGTTTTATGGTTACCTCTACTGCTTGCTCTTCACCTCTGTATTTATGATTACTTCTCCAAAACGAGAAGTTCTGGTTTAAGGCCATGTGCACAAAATCATTACAATGGAAGCAGATACACAGAGGGAAAGATAAACTGGATCCTTGAACAAACTTTTCGTCTTCGTGGAATGTTTAATTACAGGTGAGCTTGAGTGTGTAGTTAAGTCTATTAATGGAAACATTGGTTAAAATTTATCACAATTTAGTTTGATGATATGTTTAGAGATCTATTGATTTAATTGTGGTTTCCATCACAGTCTGACATCAGTTGGAGAACTACTGAGAAACCTTGAGCATTCGACGTTTGTTTGTTTCAGTCTGGTATGATCCTCCTTAGCATTTCATACTGACGATTCTGCAAGGGATTGAACTCTAGACGTTAGAGTCCTGAGGCAAACGTGCCAGCCATTCAACCACCGGTTTGAAGTTCATTGGTCCACATGTTCCTACTTCTGAGAATTCGCAATATAGTGTGACTCTCATCCAATACCATAGTTGAGTATTTGACCTTACCTCCCTACCATAGTGGTCACGAGGTTGATTAAATATTGCAGGAAATCACATCTTGAAGCATGTCACTAATGAGCATTTGACAGTAATTTAGGTAGGAGGCTTTAGAGATTTATTGATTTTACTATTCCCAAAGACAAGTGAATCGGTTAATAGCACTGACAAAACTGGACACACCTAAAGCATAGGTATAGGAGTGAAGTTATTTACTTAAAAGATACGATTACTAGAAACACTGCTGAACAAAATGAGGTGTTTTAAATCATTTTTGCTTATTCATAGCTCTCTTCAACCAGATAAGAGTTGTATAAATAACTAGATAAGATCAACACTGAATACAGACAAGTTAAGACTAGTGATAAGTTTATCCTGCTATCGGACATAAATGGTTCAGAAAATACAAATCGAACGACTAGCCATGACAAATGTCATGGTCTTTGAATAATGGCTTCATATTATGAAATCTTACTCAACGCTTTTGTTTGCTAACCATACATTCGTTTCTCCGTTGATCACTCCGAGGTTCTCACTATTTCTGCAACTGATATCAGTCTATGTTGAATATCAAGCTGAAACGTAATGTGTCTTGATTATTTAATTGACTGAAATTGACTTTGGAAAAGAACTTCTTAGCACTCTGTATGATATTTTAATGATTAGTGATAGTGAGGTTGTAACGTACTAGACATTCTCAATGATTCTTGACATCATGCAGTGATCAGAGTAGCTGAATACATAGACATGAGCCGCAATTCCTTGTTTGGATATTGTCTCCTTAGTTTCTTGTTACTGTGAACAGACCGAAAGTGAGTGAAAGTGAGTTATCACTGGGTAGAAGGGCTTAATCTTGCTTTACACTGGCAGACCACAAAATATTTCATTTGCTTCAGTTTATCTGCTTTTCCTTTTCAGCAGGCTGGAACGTTCCATTTCAACAACAGGTGGGTGCCTCATTTCGTATTCATTTGATATTTGCCACTTTCATTTCTAAACATTAATCGAGAATCATGAAAACGTTTCCTCATCAAATATAAACTATTGTTAATATAAAATTAAAACTTGGGCACTGTGGTAGATTGTATTTCCATTTTAGTCTGTTTATTAGAAATGTCATACACAGTGAAGGGACAATATCATTTACTGGATAACATCGTTTCGGAAACAATTTATTGTCCATATTCATATCAGATAACTAACTCCACAACTTCGAGACAGACTTTATATATTCCTCATTTTCTCTACTTTCTGTGATGACAAGGATTGTAGAACTTTCCATATATCTGGAACAGGTGTAGAATCATTTGTATTATTGCATGTATCTGGTGTTGATTTGATAAACAAAGATCAGGTTATCAAACTCTCCCACCATCCACCCAAATAAGTTAGTTTTCAACACTGTCGCTCCATCCCACCCTACTGTGTGATTGTGTGTCACCGCATGCAGAGCTATAGCCGAGCTTCTCTCTATGTTTCTTATCTGATTAGGATCTACTAATATTTATTTAGCTGGGGTTTTGTGCGCTGTTATTCTAATCCACCCCAGTCGACTGCTTTGACCTGTGTACTTGACCTCGCAACCATTGCCAGGGATTTGATAAACCAGATTATTTTGCTTAATTGCATCTATGGGACCTTTCATCTACAAAGCTTGTTTGTAAGCTAGTTTGTTGGTTTAAATGCTACTTTGATCTCAGGCAGTCTTATTGAGAATTGTTCATAATGCTTCTGAAGTGCCTTCCTTGTATGGTAACCCTGTCACCGTTATTACCATGAGTAGTGGAATTATTGTTAGTAACACCTGTTTTACTACTACTACTGCTAATATTTTTCTTTCGGTTTCCTATGAATTTATTTGTAAATGTAGGTGGGTAATTATTGAGACGTAGGATATTCTTGAAGTGTCTGATTTCTTGTCTCAGAATTTCTGATCTACTAGTAAGCTTTTACGCTCTATCACTTAGGCATTTAACTAGGCCTACTTTAACTGAAATGAAGTGGGATGATTCTAAGTCTAAGTAGCGACTCGAATGGGTAGGTTTTCTATAGACCCTAGTCTTCAGGTGCTGAATTTCGCTCACATTTACAAATCACTCTAGTTATATGTGAGTGAACTGACTTAGATACAAGTGGGAAGTTTGTAATCACCGCAGGTATAATATGTCAAGTCATAAAATGTTTGCTATCAATATATTTGTGATAAATTGATTCTCTCAATAATGCACAAAACTTTCATTGATATAAAATGTATACGCCATCATTTATCGCCCAATCAGATTCCACTGATCACTGAACTCTTTGTTTCATTTGCTCTTATGTGTTTGTCTCTGAAATCTCTGCAGCGATAGCAAAACTGAACTGTGATTTGCATGAACTACAAATAATCACATTTACACAGTGAACAGGCTTACTAAGACCATCACAAACTGCGTAAATGTTTGGTAAGCGAGTGAGCAACCTTACAACAATCCTCATAGGAGAACACTCTTCTTGTTCAACTTAAAGTAAACTTGGTTTTCATATTTGACACATGTGATATCCACTGTTCTTCATCTTGACGTTCTGGCACCAATTTCCGACTTCACGTTGATCATTTTAAACTCAAACTAAGAGTTTTAGAGCACACTGAAACAGGATATTCTCTAGTCATCAGTCAATGTATATTGTTCAGTTCTGCACCTGGTCGACCGCAATGTAAGTAGCTCAGCGTTAACTGAGGTGAAATCAGTCAGTCGCCTCTATTCAACCAAAATTCCTCAGTGCACCACGATTCTGAGCGTCTCAGCTTGGTGACACATTAAAAAATGGTCGGTGGAATTCCATAAGAGCTCAAAACTAGACAATAAGAAATGAATAACTCTCTAGTGACTAATAACAATTATGCAGTATTCTGTATCCTTGTCGAATAAGTCTTGTTATTCAAAGAGCATGTGACCACCTCGCTTAAAATCTCCCCAGATACTGTTACGATACGATAGTCACTTTTTGTTTTGTAAAACCACCTGGGTGAAGGATGAAGTTCCGTTCAATAGTTATCAAAGAAATTTCCTCAATAAGCGATTTTATAATAACGCTGAATCCATTGGCTACCTGTGTCTTCGTGATATAATTGATAGTTTATTCTAACACATAATATTGGATCGAATGAATTCATCTTTCAATTATAGGTGCCTACCGACTTGGTTATGCTCATGAGATTCTTCGACGAAGAGCGATGAATTATGTGAATGAAATGAATCATGCTTTAAGCGGTCTGTTCGACGTCATACACAGGTTACAAGAACGTATTCCAAAGAATGTACACAATGAGCGTCTTTCATTAGTGAAATTTCAACAGCAGATGAATGAATTACTGTCCCACTTACAAGTTAACCTGAATGAAATGGGTCAAGTGGATGGATTTCTGGGAAGTAGAATTACTGGCCTAAGTGAACTTTCTGAATGGATACAGAAGAAAATCCGACAGTTTCAGGTAATAAAATGATCTAATCTACTGATGTAATTTTCGCACTTCAAATAAAAGAAATAACAAGAGTTAGTCAGTGAAGTGATGTTGGAAGCTGAAATAAAATGTGGTATAGAGAGAGAGGATTTAGATCAATTGTTAAGGAGTCTTATCTGAACTTCAATTAACCCTCCATTATATAAAGACTGGTCTCCCAAACTACGGATATTCCTGACAGTTTCATTTACAAAAATATTGGAGAATGAAATCAGTTCAAAAATAAACTGGATCAAATAGGCTGGTCACGATTATTCAGTGTTCACTATATCATATAGTTTAGTTATTGGAAACAGTGGATCTTCTCTTTTCTTGATTGTGATATGTGAGGAGGAGATGTAGGAAATATGACAATTAGTCTGCGACCTACAAGTATCTGTTTTGAAGAAGTTGGCTAGAGACTGAAAGAGTAACAGAGCACCTATTATCTTACTGTTAGTTAGTTCAATACTGGAGTGATGCTGACTAACACTATTCGACAGCTGCCTAATTTTGTACCTAGAAAGTCAACCAGGCAAATATGTAGTCTTCATTCACCATAAGAATGGCGAGGTCATGGATGCATACTACTGAGAATTCCTGTACTAGGATGAAATAGGTCTTCAGTTATTCTCTAACTAATTTCAGAACCTCATAGAAACCACCTGGAAATCGGTAAGAGTTCAATTATCCTCTGTGTACTTAATTGTGCCTTGAACACTTCACCAAGAAAGTTACTACTTCATCTAACTACTTCTTTCAACTTTATCTGACTTCAGAATCCAGTGGACTGTAGAATAGCCAAGTATGTGACATTCGATTTTACAAATTTATGTGGATTTGGTTGTTCTGTTCATCAACTAACATTCTGCTTACAAATGGCATTTAAAAATGGACGTGTCTTGGTGATGAAGAAACATCCTCTTGGTGATATCTTCCGAGAATGGCTTCAACAGAATGTTCTGCCACTGTCTGACAAATGCAGTCATCAAGACTCTGATAACAGAAAAGGTAATAAAAAAAGCTTTTATGCTTGATTTGACCAGTAAGTAGGAATTATTTCTAAATCTCAGATCTCAAGAATTCTGTGAACCCCATAGTTTTGAGCTTATGAAAGATCTCAGAAGAGGAAAGAAAAACTTCTCGTTGCAGAAAATGAGCACGCACACACCCATGAACCAATATATGCTTCTTTCATAGAACACATCTTTATTCACAAAACGGAATGTGATGAATATATGCACTTCGAAAAAGCTCGTTCAACTCTACAGAGAACACTTTGTCATCAGAATGAACAACTGTATCACTCCTGCATTAACTTAATAGAAGTAAATAAATAGGAAGATGCTTGCTTGTGTATAGGCATAGGAATCCTCCCTCTCATATTTTGTTCCTGGAGAACGATAGAAAACGCTGTCATGCGTGTTAAGTCAGGTATTAGGAGTCCTTCAAATCTCGTTTTCTGAAGGATATTATTATTGTACATTAGGAACGCCACCACTGCCCCAAACCCAACATCAAATGGTTGCAAACCATACTGAGAATACTAGATATTGACTACCTTCGTGCTACTTAAGAATAAATTCCCTACTATTGCTTACAAACTATCATGTGGTCGATATGTAAAAGAAAACAGTACAACACTTTTAAGGCAATGAAAGCAAAGACTCACCTGATTATGGAAATGGGCTGGCAGTGGAATGCACAATGTATTCAAGCAGTGACTGGTGTTGTCACCACTGAGAACCAATCCAAGAACCCATCGCTTCAAACGCCACAGTGCCGTGCACTAAGCCACATAGCTAGCTGAATTTCTATTATCTCCAGGGTAAGTAACTTGATAACAATCCTGACAAATGGATTGGCAGAATATCAATAAATATATACCTGTCCCTGTTAGTAAGTACTTGTTCAAATGCCATTAATTACAGTTAAGAATTGTTATCTGTTGCATCCAACTCATTTTCGTTCATTTATTGATTTCAGATAATATTGCATGTCCTATGAGAGGGTATGGTGCTGAGCAACATAAGTGGATTCCGGAACCACTTCCAAATGATATAGCGAAGAAATTGATGCTCTATCATGAAGCACCATATGCTTGGTTTGCCGGTCAACTAGCCTCCTACATTTTACGACCAAAAGCTAATCTATCCAAAATGATAAATCAAACGCTAAATACATTTAAAAAGAAGCATCATCCAGTTGTTGGTGTGCATGTGAGGCGGACTGACAAAGTGAGTATTTCTTTAAGTGACCTATACAGACACTGGTTCTGATATGTATATGATTTCCAAGGCTATTTTTAGATCTATGGGACAGAAAAGTGAGAAAAATGTTTCACTCTAGCTAGTAAGCATTTTCAGGTAGAATGATAGAATTTTGACATCGCCAAGTGATTACGAAATGACTTTGAAGTTGAAGGCTACTGTGCAGCTATTCTACAAAGTCTTAAATTATTGAAAGGATGCTTCCAGTTATAGATGGGATTCTGCACAATCTTGACTGAATAGAAAGAAATTCTTTTTCATTCAATCATTTGAAATTATATGGTAATTCTAAGGGGTTTCTCATGTGCCTTAAATTGCTATTCAGAAAAGAAAAACGGAAGCTAAAGACTTTTTCTTACTGATTCGTCCAAGGTCATATATACCAGAAATTAGCAAATAATTCATAAGACAGACAATGCCATGCCAACTTTGACATCGTTTTTTTCATTACTTTCAACTAAAGATGATTCAGTTTTTCATACGATGAAACAGATTTATCTTTAAATAAGCTGAGTAATCCCTAAGTATATGCAATGGCTTATAATTCTGTGTTTCAGTAAAGAATATACGAGTATTTGAACAACGTAAGAACAATGACATTTGCAGGATAAAATGAACCCATTTTATTTCATGGCCTTTCATCAGCTGGAAGCAGCCTACAATTGAAAATGGTTGTCACTGGCAGTAATAATAACATAACACACTTTAAACATGCAGAAATAAATGGAGATTTGAAATCCAGGATTAACAATAAGGTAGTGAGTAAATCAAGGAAATATAGGATTAATGGTTACAAATCTTAGTCAAAGTCAATGGCTATTTGTATCTTATGAGATGGAAAATTCTGGATCTGTGAAGAGGATGGAGCGACAACAAAGGAAAATCAGAGTAAGAGATGGGACTGTTTAAGAGCCAACAGGTTACGTAGTTGCATAAAAAGCTTGAAAATCGTTAAGTGATTAATAGTCAGTAAGTAATTAATGAAGAGATGTCGCAGTCAAAAGAAAAGGGAAGACTATATACATGCATATGCAAAAATTATATAGTTGCCAAGGTAAAGAAAGGTTAATTACAGTCTCATGGAGGATTGAGAAACATCTGTTTGATGTCCTGCTTCCATCAGGTGCCTGGCGATTGGGCTGTTAAAGACCTTGCTATCATTCAGACACAGATTTATAGGAAGGTGCTCATAAAATCGAGTTGACGCCCTTCTTCTAGTCCATCCCATATACTTTCTTCCACAAGCACAGGTGAATTGATATAAGCAATTGAAGATGACGTGAGTATTGTTAACTTTCGACTCTGTTATTAGGCTTAATGTATTGTAAACTGAGATCAGTCCGGCAGCAGGGAAGCTTCTTCTCAGTGCAGCTTTTATTCTTCTGCCTATTCTTTCAGATGTCCCATTACCTTTGAATCCTAGGCGAAGGATGTTTTGGTCTCCCAATAAATCATTTTCCATGCTTCATGATGATTTTCGTCATATATCCATTTTCCATTGAAACCTCAATTATCTCGAATTATTCTTCTTGTTTTTCTTTAGAGAAGAGCCTTTCTATTCTAGTGAATAGCGTCCTGACTAAACCACACTTATAGCTGACATGATAGACACTATTGTAATGAAGGTACTGACCAATCCACGTGTCTTTTCTGTGGATAGTTTTCTCAACTGTACCACCACATCTCCGTCTTATACTTAGATCCAAAAATTGAATCTTTCCTCATTTTCATATTCCACTGCAAAGTTAATATTTGGATGAGCTTGGTTGAAGATTTCGAACAACTTTGACTCTTGGTTCATATTATCACAAACAATGAAAGTATCATCGACATACCTTCAGTAATATGTTAACCCCTTGATCGCAGAGTTCAGACTTGTTCTGTCGAAATGAGCCATGAATATATCAGCTAGGAAAGTTCCTAGTGGTGAACCCATAGCCATTCTATCAGTTTGCCAGTTATGTTATTATTACTACTGATAATAATTCTATTCAATTGTAGGCTGTTTCCAGCTGATGAAAGGCCATGAAATAAAATAGGCTCATTTTATTCTGCAAATGTCTTTGTTCTTGCATTGTTCAAATTTGTCAAGGGAAGCAAATTTATGACAAATATACGAGTAGTCAGTGAAGCGTGACAGGTAATAGCACATTACAACTGAACTGCATAGTCAGGTTGTCAACTGCCGTCCTACAAGCCTAGCTATTACCCTCGGAAAAAATAATTCAAATGACTATAAAATTCTAAGAATATTCAGCTGCACAGATCTCAGCCACTTCCCGGTCCAGTAGTTCGGTTCTCTCAGGCTGGTGTATTACAGAACACTAACAAGGATTTCAGTTTCTAGGGAATATGAGGACTACCTGAAGAAACTTTAAGATATTGTGTGAAACATTCAAGGTTCTTACGGGCATATCAGCGATAGTTTCTGTGCATTTCCTTGTTAGTGTCATCTAAGGTAACTGACACACTTTCAAGTGCTAGGAAATGTTTGTAGCTTGAGATGAGGTTTAATATTGCTTTCTGTTCTGCAAACTTCTGTTAAACTAAAGTGTTGACGGATTTGCTTAGCCTGGCGATGAAACGTCTCGGAACGAATTCCAAACTTGGAGAAATCCAAAAATTGGTATCTGTCATTTTTCATTTAGGAATTTCCACTCCTACTACCAATTTTCCTAACAGAGGGAAACATCCATCAAAATAGTAATATCAAATAGCTGAATTTTGTACTGTGCATACAGTTGACATTCATGAAGAATTTTCGGTTATTTCTTTATCATGCCAACGTTGATCTGCTCCACATGATTTCAGATGATGAAGAAATGGCTATTTTCTTCAGTCTACAGCTGTATCCCCACCACATCATTTTTATCAAAAAGATTTGTTGGTATTTTTCACAAAAATAATTAGAGCACAATATATTTCCTCTTCTTTATTTCAGCTGATATGGGAAGCCAAATTTCACGAGTTAACAGAATACATGGAACATGTTGAAAATTACTACCACTCAGTATACAATTCTCTCCTACTGCAGCACAACAGGGTGAATGTAAGTGACAAAGAGGTTTTAAACAGTTGAAGAACAAATGAACTTGTATATATATCTTGAGTGGCGGATTCTACGTTACTAAGTGATCCTCCCATGTCAGCCGCCCTCTGTAGATAAGAACTAAGTAATTTTTCTTCCACTTAAGCTTGACATATTGTAAGTCAAAATTATCTCCTTGGTGGAATAAAGTGAGTCATGGCGTCCTCACCTCCTCTAATCACTTCATAATCCATAATTGTGTAGATAACCAGGTATTTTGTTGCAAACGAGAGCACATCTTTTAGTGGTATACTCCAGTGCCACAACATTTTCGCAAACTTCACACCTTATTTGTACTGATTAGTCTCTGTAATAAATTTATATGGCATAGTCAGACAATGTAGTGTATCTGAAGTGTGCAAAATAAAAATTAGTGTGATCACAACTGAGGTGATTTTCTGATACATAACATTATCGAAATACTAAGATAATGATTATTTGAATAATATCCAATGTGTTCTTTGCAGCAGAAAGATCGTTTAACAAGCAGAGAGTAACAAAGGTACTCTACAGAGCGTATCATCCATTATGCAAACAGTGACAGAAATTAGAAAATGAATAATCCATTGGCATGTCATAAGTTGATTGCAGGAACACAAATGTTATGAAATTTTACTTCGTTTGAGTCTCCATCATATCTTGGCGTTTCTCTGTCTTCAAGCATTTATTTTTATTCAATGATGTACAGACTGTTTTCAGGTAAATCCTGTGACTAGTTTGCAGTGTATGTTTTACACGGTTTAATGGTATAGCTGTCTGCGGATTGCGCTTATCAACACAGGTGAACTTCTATGAAAGCCACTTAGACCGTTGTTCATCCAGGTCAAACCACACAGAGTGGCAACTCTCCCCTTCTCTCTTTTAATGACTGAAGCACACAGAGATGTCCGGTTCAGAAGTGTCATGGGATATGATGTTGCAATCAGTGGTTCTTCTCCAAAACATAACTTCTGAAGTGTGAGGGTAGAGAGTGCTTACTTGTATAGGTGAAACTAATTCAGCACTGTGCAGCCATACCTTCCTCTCCTTCATATTCTTTATGTGCTCTTCTGCTGTTGGAGAATCCGCTCATGAAAAGCAAACCAATAAACTCATCTGTTGGAAAAAAATTCCAAAGTAACATGGTTGATTAGGACGGTGCATCTGGGATGACATTTTGACTGATTGTGTGTGTAAAGTGACACTGTACAGATCAGCTTTCGTGGAGGCTAACAGAACAGGAGAATAGAACGAAAACCATCTGATGATCTATTCAGCAAAATCACTAAACTGTCTTGCATAGATATTGAGTCAGTGTGCATTTAACTCGAGTTTCAGCGACGACTATTCCAACGAGCTGCAGCAACTATGTCGAAATGAACTTAAGAAGTTGTATAAAATCTTATTCAAAAACAGAGGAAGATTATTGAGACTGATATTAATCGTAAACAATTATTGATTCGAAATTCACCAGAAATATGCATCAACAGTCGCAGTACTTTCACTGTTCGGAACCTGATTTAATTCATTCATTGAATTTCACACAAGAATAGAACATCGTCACTTAAAGTGTCTTCTCATGAGCTCGAGCAACTCCATTTCTTCGAGAAAGAGGTAGGAAATATAGATCAATAAATTCCGACTCAATGGAACAATGATGCCGTGCGGGCGGAGGGGCTGGGGGAACCTGAAGGTTGTGGCTTCGATCCCTGAGGGGTTTGTGAGTGCGCACTGCTGAGAAGTCCTATGTAAGGGTAATTGGAAGAGCAAAGCCTCAGTCCAGTACTCCCAGGTATTCACTGCTTCTCCACATGATGTCAGTAGATGATGAATACCAACCTGAAAGAAAAGTTTGTCAGTCATTGTAAAAGGGGAAATTTTCCTTCAGAATGTCACTATTTTCACTGTTGAAAACACAAACCTTGCTAATGTGACAGTGAAATCCCTGTAAAGTGTGAATCGAGAAGGGAAAAAGAAGTAACCCTTCTTATTATCGTGTTCATTAGAACTAACAGACTGCTTCATATGGTCTCTGAGCAAGTGTGTGTTTAACTCCACTTCCACAGAAAAGCGTTTTATACAAGCCTTGGTAATATATTTGCGGAAAATATATCCTCTAGACAACAAACAATGTTAGTTGGTTGGAGGCAATCGGCAGGAAGCCCTGGACCTAGGTTTCGTGCTTTTTGGCACTCGTCAGCAAGGCGTATCTGCAACCCGACGGAACTGATGTCCCGCCTGTGATTCGAACCCCAACTAACATCTACCAATGTGCACCGCGATGCTGAGCTTCCTAGCTTGGTTGCCACATTGCAAATATGATCGATAGAATTCGGTCTGCCCTCAGGACTAGACAACATGAAATTGGTTGCACTCCCGTGACCAATCAATACAACAAACAATGTAAAATTCACTGAAGTTGAGTTTCTCCAATATCTTCACATCATTGGCAGCTTCAATGTTCCTCCTAATCTTCGGATAATTAAACTGTCTCATCCATTTGTTCACAGTCTTAGCAGTACCATGATCCATGCATTTTTTCCGAACCCTTTTTCAGTCATTATTATAAACTGAGCGTGTTGACCATTTCACAAGCTAGAAAAATAATATTGGACTGCATTTCTCTTAAGATTTTGCAAACATCTGCAGTTAGTCTTTATCACTTCGCACCTAATTCAAGGTGGTGTAGGCTTCTGTGTAATTATGCATTCCATATTATGATTACATTCAGCTATACAATTCAGCATCTCAAAAAACTTTTTCGCGTCACCACGTCCCCTGAAAGTTTCAGCAAAGAAAAGGAGCATCAACTAGTATCGATAATTCTGTATCTTCAAAACAATGGATAGTTACGATTTACTGTTGAATGACTTGTGAATTATAACTGTATGACCTCACTAAACACTTGTCTGTGAAAGTTTTCAACGCAAACATTTGATAATATGATATGAATTATTAAGAACCACACACCTGAAAAGTTTAGGTGCCTTCTCTGAATGGAAGACTTAACGGGTTCAGATCAATTCACACTCAAGAAGGAAACTAAAATTTTGTAGGTTCGTTCGACTTAAGTGCTGTTGTCATTGAAGTCGGATAAGTCTTTTCTGATTTTCCAATTACTTCATCACCTTGAAGACGCGCAGTCTATCAATTTCTGCAAGAACAACATGAAAAAGTGCTGCTCTATTACAGTATGGAAAACTTTTTTCTATACACTACTAACTATCACTTGGAATGAAGCCATATTAGCCAAGTTCAATCATATTTTTGTCGAATATCAACAACATCATAAGATCCAGTATTCACATAGATGACTTAACATTCCTTCATTACATTTTATTTCTATACTTTGAACAGTTTTATCACATTTTTCTTCTATTAACAGAATTCAAATCGTTACGCCGACCAACACATCACAGCAGCTACTGAAAGTGGATATAATGAAAAGATCATTCGTAGTGTTTATTTGTCTACAGATGACCCCATACTCTTTGAACAGCTTGCCAAAAACTATTCAAATTACAATGTATATGGAAGTCGACATAGATCACAGACCGCTATTACTCAATCTCGTGGAAGTCTTGACTCCTTGAAAGAAGTATTTATCGACGTAATTGCGTTGTCGCAAACAGACTTCCTAGTCTGTACATTTTCATCGAATGTGAGCGATTTATAATCAGTAGAAGGTTAATATTGCTTTATTTGTTCACCTCAACTGACAGCTTATTCAGCCCAGGCGTTTCTGGAGACTGATCGATTTCACAGTGGTATTCATCGCAGAATGACATCAGTTAGACGGTTGTTACAGCTACAGAAGTATTAGTAAAAATTCCCTTCTAGCATGCGACACCTTAAGAGTGCCTACCCATGAATTTGTCTACAACCGAACCCAAGACATGTAGGTATCATGGTGAGAACGTTACCACTGAGACATGGACCACCAATTCTGCTGTCTACATTCTCACACTTCAACCAGTATATTACGATCATCGTGCAATGCCGTTGGAGAGTAATTGTCCTCAAAGCCCACTCAGCTGACCCCTCTGATCGCGGCCGACAGGTGACTGAGTGATAAAGTGTTCGCCAAGAAACCTGAGGGCTGTAGGTTGCATCCCTGGCGAGGTTGTGGGTTCGCACTACTGAAAAGTCAAATAATAGAATGAAGCAGCCTTCTAATCCCCTCAAGTTTTCACTGGTTCTCCAAGTGGTGACACGCCATGCTGGATATTACGTTGTAGTAATTTATGTTAAGAGGTGTAATTCACATCATATCACATCTTGCAATAGCCCAGACCTTTCACTGAAGATGTATATTTTGCACCAGTCTTGAAGTACACCTAAATTTTGGATGAAAGAGTACCGTAATTTAGTTAAGCAACTGAAGACTCCGATTGATAAGATAAATAAGTAAATAAAATGTAGTAGTTCATAAGTCTCTTGAATAATGATGTCGTTTGCATTTCTTGCATCTACAGTAACCACTTTCTCATATTCTACAGCTATGTCGTTTGGGGTATGAACTAATGCAGACACGTCATGAAGACTTAGGTGATGCAACACAATTAGTCAGATCTCTTGATTATATGCACCAAATGGAAGACTATTCAGGGATCAAATTCGATGTTCTCATACCAGATATCGAAACAAAATTGAACTATGGTGATCTAGTTAGTCTGGGCAGATCTCACTGGCCAGGTCATGCAGCTATCCACCTTCTAATTCGCAATGGTGTTCGGGATAAGAAAATAGAGAAAGGGGTTCCGACTGCCAAGAAAACCCAGTCGCAGATTCTGCCTACATACAAATTTAGACCACAGATGACGATGAGCAATTTTAGCTGGACATAGTTTCGAATTTGTTGTCATCATCGAATGAAATGTCAACTTATGACAACTTGTGTGTTTATGTGCAATAATTTTAATTTCTATGCAGTCTCATATACTGCTATGTTCATTACAAAACTATTTCTCGTTAAAAGTCCGTTACTGTATTTCTCTGTGTGAATAAACCTCCTTGTATATGTTCTTTCCCATCTTTTGTCGCTCTTCAATCATTCCACTTCTGGAAGACATTAATTATTCCATAGTGAGAAATATCGTAGTTTTGTTGAAGATGTTCTGAGTGTTGTAATGAGACGGCAGGTGTTTCGATTTTTATTGGTGCCTGACCTTCATACTCCTATTGGAATTCATTACCAGTTTTAGATAGGATTGTGTGGTAGAGCAATATTGATTCATTTGCCTGGTGGATAATGCTCTGGCCTTTGAAGCAATAGGTTCTGCGTTCAACTATCAGTGTGAAGCAACATAACTCACTGGGAGACAGACAAATTCAGCTGACGATTAAACGTCAAATAGGAGGAAATGTGAATCCTAGTTTACGCTGCTAGACACTATCCATTATTACTTTCGAGCGAGATGATAGGCCATGTCGAGACGTCCACTTTGAAGCCTATATTTCTAAAAGTAGTGGATCAGTTTGATTCATTCAGTAATGGGAAGTTACAGGTTACAAAATCAATACTATACAGTTTGAGCTTCATAAAGTTACCACAAAGCCGGTCATAAGATAAGAAATAAGCTTGAATGCTGACCGTGAAATATACCGTTTAGATAGTTCAGTTATGTGTGATATGGTCATTTGACTGGTTTGAATAAACAGTCTACAGAACATATTTTCTGCCGTTCTATAAGTATGTGATGATTATAAATAATGTAATATACTATGGGTTATATTTAGAGATTTCTGAGTGACATTCATCATCGGTTGACATCAGATGGAGGGCCACTGAAAATTTCGAAGCAGTAAAAGGCTGTTTTGTTCCAGTATGTTACCACTTAGTAGTAGGCGATCACTATCCCACCTAGCATCAAACCTATGACTACCAGGTTTCATGTGAACTTGTCACGACTGAGCCACTGGATCGGAATTGAGTCGTCCACATTTTTCCACCCCTGGCAATTTCACGATGAAGGGAGACCTTCATCGAATGCCATTGTTAAGTATTTGTCTCCTAAGCTAAATTTAGTGAGGTAATCTTGTCTGCATGCGTCAAAAATGGATCTGATAAACTGGGCAAACCGCGATAGGCTTTCGAACATCGATCAAGTAATAAAATCTGATGTCTGTTACAAATTCTACAGCAACGATTAGCTAGAACTTACGAATATTTTGATACTTCATGAGTGCTTTGTTTTTCAGTCCCTTCTAATTCAACTGTTCTATGCAACTTGAACATCTTGTCTGTGTGTTAAGCTTGTTATATAGATAGAAGCCTCTAAATAGAGAAAGGCTTTAGATTTCTAGCCGCATAAATATTCAATAACCTTTGTGTCACGGCAACCGCACTTACTGGTGTGAACTGTTTGGATAAAAAAATTGCTGTGCTGCGAACAGTAAGGTAACAGGGTCAAACTTGGCAACACTCAGCCATCAGACCATGAGAATTCAGTGATTCCGAATGGAATGGAGAAATTTATTCAAGAATAAGAAGAGATACGTAACGCTATCTGCTTACAGAGAGAAAATTTACCTCAACTACTAGTATGCCGACAGCGTTATAGCGTAAACATTCCACGGGCGTCACAACATAATTCTAAATCGATCAGCAGTAAACCTCTTTGATTTTGATATATTGCCTGACTGTTTCCTGACCACAGCATTATGGGACGATACTACTGGAATAACGTTTACTGAACGTTACTACCTTACTTATCCTTATACTGTTGACTACGACTTCCTGTCATTGGCTGGACTAATAGTACCGCCTCCATTGTCATTTGCTCTGCTTCGCAGACGCCTTGATGCTGTCAGTAAGCTCAACTTTGTAGGGATGATGGAGACTGGCAAGTAGTTGAGTCTAGGACCTATGTTTTGTCCTACCCAGGATACATCAGCTGGATGTACCTGCCTCCAGATGACTGCTGTACTTCTCATTAGGACTATAGCCCACAACCAATCGCTTTAAGTCCCACAGTGTTATTCACTGAGCCACTGAGTCACAGTAGCACTCTCTGTGTGGATGGTACAGTTCACTGATGAAATCCTATCATTGATTTGAGTGAATTAACAGGTATATCCGACTAATGAGTCCTAAATATGAAGAAACGCGAATCTGGAATCCATTACTAAGTAGTATCCTCTCTCACTGTCTAGTTTATTTTTTTCCCGAGCAATTGATCATTTCTCGATGAGAAATGTAATCAGGGGTTAGTTAACTTGTTAATTTCGTTAAAACGCCGAGGACTTCAGGCATACACCAACTTCATTCAAAGTGTCCCTTAGATTGAAGTCTAAATATTCCAACTGGTTCACTCCTGCAGTGTCTCACACTCATATAGTTTAGTACACAGTATGGATATAAAACTCAGTGTAATAGATCTCAGCCAGCAAAGAAATGCAGTCATACTCTCACTGAATCTATTCCATTCAACCAAATGCAACCCGACTTCTACATTGCTAAAGTAGACTATGGAGTATTTCCGTTGTCCCTAATCCCAAAGCTAGCACCTGACTCTATGACCATTTAATAGTATGCTGTTTTAAGCTGATTTTCGATATATTTTCACCCATTTTCCTTCTTAAGTAATCTTAATCAGTCTAGCTTTGTGTTCAGTGGAGGGAAAAACTTCACTACTCTTCACTGGATAAACGTAGTGAATTTCCCGCGGGACGAATTAGTATTTGGTTAAATCAGTTCAAAGGGATTCAGAACAACTGTGTACAGAGTATAGTGTGCACAGAAACCAAGTATATTTTGACAATTTTATTGGATTTTAACGTAAACTAAATATAGATGTATGGCTTGTGAAACTGAAAATTCTTGGTTATGTCGTTTTATCGTATGAGAAGTGCAATCTGATCTTACTTCCAGAAGGATAATATCTTGAATCTTTTTCAGACAGGTTATAAAGTCACCGACATCTCTACTAAGGATTGATAACCTCAGTGCTGTTACTGGCACTGCATATTGGTGAAGTGTCTTCAGTCGCTGACAATCCTTAGTGGTCATTGATGGTCGAAAATCTAGGCCTCATCCATTTTTCACATATCTGGTGTTTAAAACAGAGTGGAACATTCTGATTGCAGTGCTGTGTGCAAATTATTCAATTATGTCTCAAATGCCTAACGTTTTTGGAGAGCATAGAAAGGCAAACATCTGGTAACACAACAGGTACGTTCATTCAAATAAGTGAGGGAACTACTCATAATATTGTGGAAACTCATAGGCTTTACACTATGGACAGTAACAAAAAGGTCATGCTTTTGTTCAGGATTCCCTATGACCCCAAGCTCGAATAAAACCTCTTAGTTCCTTTTTTCAGTCGTTAACTAAACCACAAACACTGCTTTCCATTTTTAGCCCCTTATTTAATCCTTTACTGAGCGTCTAAAATGGAACTGAATGCTTCGTTCACTTTCAACAATGGAAGAAAAGAACTATTATTTTCGTTAAAAACTTACTTTCCTCTTTATAACCACCACATGGTAATGAATGATGGCATCATATTTCCAAACATATTTTAGGTTATTGCGAAGTAGTAATCTAACCATTACGAAACCTTATCCTCCTGAATATAAATTAACATGGAACAATAACGCTCGTACCTCAGGATGTATACAAGGAGAATATTAGTCAGTAATTATATATGTCTTAAGAGCAACTATAAGAAAAAGGTCTGGACGTACACACGTCTCTAGATGACAATCCTGGAGATGTTGAATCTAAATCACGGGCATAGCTAACTTCTTAAAATTTAATAAGCAGCTTGACTTAAACCAAAAAATGATTTTTGATTCACAAAACTTTAAATAGTTCCAACAAATAGTGAGTTGACCGAGTGAGATTGTTACTCAATTAAGAAACTGTGTAAAAATAATGATGATTTGAAAGTTTCAAAATCTGAGAGTTCTTCTATCTTCACTTACGCATTCCAAGCAGGTTGTGTTTGATATCCAAAATCAAGTTTCGTAATTATAAATTATTGGTAGAAGAGTTTCATTTGACAAAATAAAATTTGAGAAGTAAAAATATTCATATTGATTATGATTTGACTCTCTGAGATAGCTGTGTATGGTTTGACAGACTAGTATTTGTACTGGGTGATGGATGATTGAAGGTGAGATGAAAATACTACAAATACTAGTCTGCCAAACTACGGTTATCTCAGATAGTCGTCAAGTGATAATTAATATGATGCTCCCCCTCTCCGATTCAGTTAGATTTGGATTTGGATGAGAAGTCCTGAATAGACAGCCAGTGTGAATACGATCAAGTGGTAGTAGTAACGCGTCATGAATTCACCTGGTAGTCGGGCGAAACCCTACCTTGTGATTGAAGTGAAATAGAAATGTGGTGAGTAGTCGGCCCTCGTAGCTCAGTTGGTAGAGTCTCGGGCGGGTAACCCAGTGGTTGCTGGTTCGTATCCGGCCGCAGTCCAGATATACATCTTACCTTCAATCATCACCTCCTTACACCCATATATCCTAAACAACATATGAGTAACCATCATTATTCACGTGGGACAAACACACATACTGTGATGCAATCTGTCATACTTGTCGGAGTGTATCTTTCTTATTTAGAAAGAACAAGGTTTACATCCCAGAAGTGATCAAATTCAACTGTAATAACAAGTATACATCCTGACAAAATTGACGGGCACTGACATAAATTGCATCTGGATACTCATTTTCGAACACTGACAGCATCGGAATGTGCAACTTATCAATAGTATCTATAGACACCTCAAGACAAAACATATTATCCGTTAGTAAATTTTCAACGTATGAACTTTTGATACAATAAATACAACAACGAGAAAAGTGTTTATAAATTTCATCAAGATTCTCCTTTTTGAGAACAATTTCATGTTAGCAGAACAAATAATAACCAGTTTTAACTGTTTTCTGATGAACACCCTTCAGTTGGTCCAGCAATAATGACAACTACATTAGTAGTACAAACCGATATACAGATTATTTTCACCTAGATTAAGTTGAACATGTTG